CGATTGTCAGTACAGGTCAAGTTTGATCAGATGCCCGTTTCATAGAGCACAAAGATGTTTTGAAGTTATTAGTTAAGTTGAAGTAAATCAAACTGTACGGAAAACCAGCAAAAGTAGCAAAAATAGCAATCAATAGGAAAGTAAATGCTTATGGGATGGGATAGTGAGCTCGTAAAGGCTTTAAATAGCTTCCTGGCAAAATATTTACTTTTCTCAACTTTCCACTTACTTTAAATCTCATTGTCTATTTTCTTAGGTTATCTTTGATTCTAAAGAAATTGAATAAAGGAATAAATTTCAACCATCGCATAAATTTACTTAGAAACAAAATTCAATAATATTGTTTCATTAATGGTAAAGTTTGGTTGTAACCAATGGATATCGTTTTGTTTCACGGCTTTCATAAAAAATTCCGTACTATTTCCGACATTCTCTATCTCCTCATCTCTCGCTCTCTTTTTCTGCTATGTAGTCGTTCGATTTTGCTCTCTATCTCTCAAGTGATAAAGGTCCAATGACTCAATAATTTTTTTCCTCTCGCCCTCTTAGTCATACCAACTTTTTTACTCTCTATAGTACCCGCTCTCGCGTTTGCGCCCTCTCTGTATCCTTTATTACTTTTGTCTCCTATTGCTCAATAAATTTTCCGCTCCCGCTCTCTTCATCTGCTCAACTCTAGCGTTTTCTCTATATATTTCCCTCTAACTCTCTCCCTTTCTTTCTCATACTCTCCCCTCATCATATTTGTCAATAATTACTCAATTAGTTTTCAATTCTCCCAAACAATTTCCTCAAGTTCACTATACTCCAGGCTTTCGATCACAAAAAAGTAAAACTTGAATTAAGTGGCTTCTGTGTCAAATGTCACAACAAAATAATCATGAGTGTTCAGTACAGACTTGGCTTTCTTAAGTACATGAAGTGCAATTCGCGATTTTTATGTTGAGTTGGTTATTCAACAAAGAAGTTCCATCAAATTTTCTTTGCCGAATTCGCCTGACTTATCTCTGTGTAACTTCTTGCTATTCAGCAAATTCAAACGACCGCTGTAGAATAACCATTTTGAATCTATTGAAGACATTTAATGATAATCGCTACGCACATTGAAGGCCATTTCGAAAATTGACTTTAACAACCGTTTTGTGGATTAGCAAAATTGTTGGCTCAAGTCTATTAGGATCAAGGAGGATTCCTTTGAAAGATGCGACACAAGTTTGAAGAATAAATTAAGTATTTTAAAATTATGAACAAGGACTTACTATTCATTGCTTATAGTAGTATATCAAGCGAATATGCTAAACAAATTTAAGTCATGCAGTCAGCCGTCACCAATACTAAATATCAACTTATTTTTTTCTATTCCCTTAGTAATCGATTTTATTGCTGAAAATTACTTTTTGATATTTTCTGGGTTAAAACTGAGAATAGAAACCCTGTTAAATGAAACTGACAACATTTTCAGTTATTATAGTTCTTGAGTAGACTTTTCCGTGAGTTCTAGTATCTTTATTGCAGCCGATTTTCTATACTGGGTTAAGAATTATAATAAACGTCCAAAGGACTTTAGCAAGAGAAACGGTACTTTGGTACCGCACAAGACGTCCGAATATTTCTGAAAATGTTCATATAAGCACTTTAATTGATTCGCATATAATCTTCCACAGAGTAACCCTAATCAGTTGTCTCACTATTTGTGCAATCAATGTAATACCATAAACTTCATTAATAATCTTCTGAAGAGAGACTTTGAACACTATAATTCCACCTTTCTATTTTAGATTCACACTATTGTTAGAACCTTAGTGAGTGTGATTAAATAAACAAGTGTATGAAAAGCTTAGTTATAGCCGAACTTAGCTCTTCTTAGTTGTTTAATTTGGATTTTCAAAAATTGTTTGTAGAACGGGTATTAATATAAAATTATTTGCTCCATTTTCTTTCTATGCTCAACGGATGCACTTTTTCTGCATGGTTTGTCTGCTTGCTTGCAGCTTATAACATTCAACATATTGATGACTAATAAGCTACGCAGCTACCGCTGCCCACATACTTACAAATATAATTATATTTAATATGGCAAAATGCCAAAATAAAGTCGTTGAAATGCAGCAAAATAAAACAAATCGAAGCAAACGAAAACATAAGCATCTTTCCTGGAGATTAACTGGCTGACCCCACACACTTAGTGTGAGAGAGTGAGAGAGTGAGAGAGTGCAAGGAGCTAAAGAAAATTGAAAATGAAATCGCAATAAGCACAGCAAATCCCTGGATAGCTTGTGTTTGCTGCGGCTTAATGGAAGATTTATTTCAAGGAAAGCAAAAATCGTTGAGAAACTTAATTGCGTGTGTGTGCATGCTTTTCGCTGTGCGTATTTTTCTTAGGTGTATTAGCTTTGCTCATAAGTTCGTACATATTCTCTCGTGAGATTAATTTTATTTATTTATTTAGAAATCCAGTTACTCTTATGTGTTTTAATGTTCATTGTACAGCACTAGTGCTTGCTGCATTTCCTGAAATTTTCCTGGAAATTAATTTTTTTTTTGTGAAGTTAAATGATAGAGCACCTCGAATATGTGGGAATTTATGCACGAATATTAAGAAATATTAATTTTTGGTTCATTTCATCATAATAACTTATTTTGAAGGCGATTAATTATAGTACTTCATTAGAAACATATACAGTATATTTCATATCACAATGAACACCAGTGCGAATTTGAATTTTATTCTTTACTTAAATAAGTAGTCCTTCTGTAGCTAAGTTGAAGTACTTTCCGCTGGTGGGGAGAGAGGAAAAAATTGTGAGATCATATTTTGCAAATTTTTTGTTTTGCATCACTATCTGCCAGAAACGAATGTCTAACCTCCCTTGAAAAGATCAAAAAGCGGAAACTGAAAGTTTATATAAGTCTATACGAATTTTTTTGGACTTGTCTTTAAAAAAAACCGCTTTTTAGACGAAACTGTCCACCTTGACATAAATAGTGGTCGGAAAAAACCAAAGGGATATTTTCTTACATACAAGTTATTTATTTGTTTTTCTGTAGTTCGATGTACCTACAAACCACTCACAGCGTGAAAATGAAATAAACGATTTCGGTTGAAATTGCTTCGGAAAAGAGCTTATAGGATCATATATGTACTCAATGAGTATTTTTGTGCAGTAACTTATTTGCATCAAATAAATGTCAAACTGCTGTTTCGAAGTGCCTACAATAAACAGATTCCATTAGCATGCGTAAAAATGTCGAATAACATGTGGAATGGAAGCGAATTAATTTACAAAATTAATTAAATGTCTTTGGCTTATTGAAGTACGCATGGATTGAGATTTTTTTTTTGTTTTTTTTCTTTTTGTTGTTATCAAATAACCGTTTTTTCGTCCGAGTATTGCCGAAATGAAGATTTAAATAATGCAGTGAAGCATAAACCACACATACAAGTATGTAATGGTAACTGGGTGTAGGTTTATGGTCTTGTCTTTACATCATAAAAAAATATACTCGCTTTTATATATATATAATATAATATAATATATATTTATGATTTTTTTCTATCCTATCATAAAATATTTGGAACTTTGAAGGTTCGCATCCATCCTTCGGGGTAAATAATTTCCAAATTCACTAAAAAGCGTCTTCAGCTGATCTTATCTACCAAACCTACTTCTATGCCCAAGTAATCTTCAACTCAAAGTCAATACCATATTACGTAGAAGAGGCTCTAAACATCTAATTAGGCATTGTAAGCCATATTTTAAGTAAAATTTTGGGTTTAGAAGGCTGTGTGCACATGTTCACCACATTCGCTAACAGTGGAACAAAAACACATCCGAATATGACTATCTCAGCAGCATTTGAAGCGTGGATTTTGTACGTCGATTCTTCACTATGAAGAAGACTTGGATTTGTCACCAGCTTTGCAGTACAATTGTAAAGCTACTCTCTCTCTCTCTTTCAGTGAGGCTCAATGACTGTTTGTCTGTATAAAAAATAGCTCTTGAGTAAACTAGAATGAGCCATGGATAATTTTTCCCACTCTGATAATATGCTTTAAGAGTTTAATACCTTTAAAGTCGATTTAAATAACATCTTCATCACTATAAACTCCTAATGGCATTGCGTGCTACAGCCCAAACGCGCAACAGAGAAAGAAGAGTTTATAAAAAAAAAAGAGTTGAATTAAACTCACAAACGCTCACTTTAGTAACACACAATACATTTAGATCAATTTTGAATTCTCTTGGTTAGGTAGCCGACTCCCAAAAGTACCTCCGAAAAAACATTTTTGCGATGAGGAAGCTTTTTCTGCTTCAGTTGATTGCAAATCGATTTAGTTTTGAAATCAAAAATGTATTTGACCCACTAACTCAGGTTTGTCTAACTGATGCTTGTGTTGCCACGTGTAACWTGCAACATTAAATGTAAGACATTTAGAGTTCTTTAACGCCAACAAAATGTCTTTAGAAAAAAGACGTTATTTCCTGCAGACGCGTTAAAGAATTGCGACACAATAAACAAACATACTTAATAAGGCAWATAAATACATATCGCTTAATATATATAAAACTTTATTGTATATGTGTATATTTACGCTTCTTTCATGTGCAGCTTTAATGTATTATTTATCTTCGTTATCCCAATTATATCTATATTCTTGGGAAATACGTCTTTGGACGCTAACTTTAATTGCAATACCTTCAAGTCCAAACTACATAYAAACACAAGCGCATAAATTGATACATTTCATTATTAATCACATACCTATACATATATGTATGCATACCCTTTTCACCTTAATTTGTAAGCGCGCAACTTATCCATGTCTCGTTTATCTCGCAACCCCAGTCATGTACGATTAATGATATGAAATAAATACTTCAATGTTCAGTGATATATTCTATACAAACATATATCAATAGGTTGGACAACTATGCGTATACGTAACACACATACATACATAAATATTCACCTGTTGGTATATAAATGTATGCACTCACCTGAAACTTCGCTCCGAAATGTCCTGCAATTCGTTATCGATCAATTTCAATGTCTTCAATCGGAGTCCCTGAAATGTTTCATCGTCGACACTTTGCAGATGTGTGCGTGACATTTCAATRTAACGCACGGAACTGTGTATGAATTCTGTAAGTGATTGGAAAACAGACRAAAAATAAATGATTGAAACTAGTCAAATATGTAATAGAGCAGATAAGCGTATGGATTTGGTAGAAATCTCTATGAGATTTATTATATCAAAGCYCTTAGGTGAATTACTTGAGCAAATATAATTAGATTTTTGGCAGGTGTTGGTTGAAATATTATCCCAAACACATAAAAGTTAAAGTCAATAAGAATATTTTCAAGTCAGGCTGAATATAGGTAGGATGGACATTAATGAAAGAATAATTGATAATAAAAATTATAATAGAGTTTAGAGATAGATGCTCCTATTAAGCGAGCTGTAGGACTGTGAATCTTTAATCGGAAATAAATATTATTTCACAAGCATTTTTTTTATAACAAACTATTATTGATAAAATAATCAGAAAAATTTGTCTGAGAAGTTTTATTACTGCACAAATCAAAGAGTGTTCAGTGTTGTTTAGGGAGCCGGCATCATCAAGAAACCGGAAACATGTTCATAGTTACAACCAAGATGAGATTCTTTAAATTTACATCTAAGGGCTTACTGTCCCTCGGAGAATCGAATGTTCCCTGAGAATAACAATGAACTTAGCGAACAGCGTCCTTTGTGCTTAACGTGGGTACCTGCTGTCGTCAGCCTTACCCCATGGCGCCGAAAGGTGCAGTGGATCAAATCAATGTATTCACCTGCGCCCTGCATATGCCAGGCATATACAGTACCAATTGGCAGTGGACACAAAAACTACCCTGGCAAAGTTCGAGACCCATCTAAAACACCTGCCATGTTTTGGTTCCGGCACCCGGTTGCGATGCAGCTATACATTGAGTGATCAAAATAACCTGCCCGCATTCGGGTTTTAAATCAAAACCATAACAACATACTCCGAGGGGATACACCCCATGAACAGGTTGGAGCGAACTGCAAGGTCTCCTGCTTCGCGATGTATTAGAACTAAGTTTCCGGTCAAATCTCTTAGCCAAAACTACTACCAATTGAGCTTCCAYMATGMTTTGGATWGGTGAMCAGGTGTTGGACCTCATACTCTCATCTAACGCACGCGAAAATCGCACAAGAAACGCACACTTAAATTTYAGTCAGTTATCTTCGCCGTCTAAATAACTTACACGCAAACCTTTCAAACGACCCTAAATGTTCGGCTTTCTAAATCTGTATAACTAATTCCCATTTCCTCAAGGTTCCTGATATCCGAGTACGCTTGACATTCTGCAATGACATGTACCTAATCCTCAATGCAGTCTCCATRCACACATTCAGGACTTTCCTATAAGTTACTCCTATGCAAAAATGTATTCAGTGGTCTATGCCCAGTAAGTAGGAAGCTCATAGAGAATATGAAGTATAGATGTCTTTCCAAACATTCCGCATGAACTCGTAAGTAAGCCAACCGTTACGGCTACTATCCCACTTTTCCCACGCTTTTGCCACTTTCTCCTAACCCTTTCATCTAGAGCCTCTTGCTTCCTTCCTCTGCACATCATCAACAATCCAATCATTCATGCAGCAATTTTAGCCTCAAAACCCACATTCACCAAATGTAGCATGAAACACATTATTTCACACATGGTCAACCCCAGGTTTTTGACATGCGTCATATACCTGGGTGGTTCTCCAGTTGTCCCAGCATTGAGTCCATCATGAAGTTTCATATATATGAAACACAGATAGACCCCTGCGGGCAGCTCCGAGCCACTTCGATCTCTACGCTTCCATATAAGAACAAAAAAAAAAAACACGAAAATTTTTCAATCATCCAAATTTACTTTATCGCCTTGAAGGTAACATCAATTTGAAGCGCTGCACATGTGTCAACTCTTCACCCAATCGTCAAAAAATTGCGTCGAATTTTTGTTTTGATATCTTCAATAGAGTCGAAGCGTGTTCTCCGAAGTGGATATTTCAGTGTGAAGAAAAGTAAAAGTCACATGGAGCTAAATCAGGGAGATGCGGTACTTGTTTAATGATACAATTTGAGTGTTTGGCCAAAATTTTACACAAACACGTTAAAAAAGTTTTGTAAAATTCGACAAACACTACTGAGGTCGACAAAGATAAACAGCTTCTGTAAACACACTGGTTCACAGATCAGATTTTTGGCATCATAGTTAAGGACAGTTATACCAATCCAGAAAAAAATGTAGCTGTCTTCCATATAAGCAGAATATGAGAGGAGGAAATGAAGAATTCCCGATACTTTCTTGACAGAACGTAATCTGTAATAATTAATGTCGGTAGACTTAAGTAACTAAATAAGTATAAAAAAATCCGAACTATCATCTCTGTAATACCTGTATACTAGTATAGAGTTTTGAGAGACAAATGGAGAAATCGATACGATTTTGATTATTTTGGTAGAAGAAAGCCAGAAAGACTCAAAAAATTTGCAGAAAGCAGAGATTTTTGCGAATAAGTAATATAACTGAATAAAAATAAGTTATTTTTGTGTCACAATTTTAACATATTTCTAGAAAGACCGCTTTATGCCACTGTTGAGACGGTTTAGAAACTAAAAATTACTTCTGGCTTGCCGACATTTATTTTTTATCTTCTTTTATATGATTAATGTTGCAACATACGATTCGTCAGCTTTTTATTACATACTTTTTAGTGTCCYCAACTTTTTTCATAACCTTTGTTCACCAGCAAATACTTTGTATCTCTGCTGTTGCCGCAACTTAGTTTTCCAATCATCTTGCCCCACACCACCCAATTTATTTCGGGTCACTAGAGATCTAAGTTTCGGCCAAAGTTCAAATTGTTTGCCATTTGTTGGCAGGAAGCAATGCAAACATACACACACACATTTACACAGACAAAAATAAGCGGCAGCGTTGCTCAATAGATTTGCAAGTGTGCTGTGGCCATAACACAATCTACAACCAATCAGTGCCGGCACACTAGAGCCGTTCAGGCAGCAATTGCACAAAAAAGCAGACAACGACAAGAAAACATTAAAAGCAACAAAAACAAAATTGAAAATGCTTACATACACACATAACACACAACTACAAAAGTAAATTGAATGAAAAAAATTGGCAATAATGGGGTCATCAGCGAGGCCATCCGATAAACAGAAATGACAATGGCAATTGGCTGGTGGGTGTGCGGGTGTGTGGGTTGTCGGGTGAGCGGCTGCCAGGACACAAACGTGCGCGTNTCGCACAGTCATGGATGTCCAATGAGACATGTTTACTTTAAAAACAAAAAATTCAACTTTATCGGGACGAGTCGAGAAAGAACGCATTTCATACTTAAATTATCCACCATAATCATTAGAACGGACTCAAGAGAGATGTCTCTTCCCAACTCTCTGGCACTTATCGGATGTTTATCTCTAGATGTGTATAAGAGACAGACACACAACTACAAAAGAAAATTGAATGAAAAAAATTGGCAATAATGGGGTCATCAGCGAGGCCATCCGATAAACAGAAATGACAATGGCAATTGGCTGGCGGGTGTGAGGGTGTGCGGGTGTGTGGGTTGTCGGGTGAGCGGCTGCCAGGACACAAACGTGCGCGTGCTATAATGGGCACATTTCGTGAAAGCAATGAAAATTGAAATAGGCAATTAAGTCGACAGACACACAGTGAGCGTGGTAGAGTGTGCTGCTGCAAATGCTTTTCGGAAATGGATTTCTAATTTATTTAAAATTTGAGCGCAATTCACATTGACATTCCGATGTGCGCAAATGAGTTTAAAATGTCTAAGTGCTATCGATTTGGACACAGCATGCCAGGCCTAAGCGAGTTTTAGCTTCMAATTTCGATTTCGCTTTTGTTGTTGGCTACCTTAATGCTGTTGTTGTTGTCGCTTACTAGCGCAAATGCAATCAAATTGCTGTCGAATGGGGGCGCGCCATAGAAAAATGTTACTCATACGCCTAGTGGTGCGCCATAATGAGCTATTTGCTCTTACCCACACCGCTGTAGTCTGCACAAAGCGTGCCATTTCGCTGAAGAATGCTCATTTCGCTAACGCAAATTCATTGACGCTATCAATTTGGCATTAAAGTTGAGCTCCAAAAACCGCCTCAATGCTTAGCTAATAGATTTTTAATGAGCAACGCTTACGAATGTCAGCTACAAGAGAGCTTAACTAGTGCTTGCGCGTATACACAATGGGAGTATACATATACATGGGGATATTGTATGTGTGTGTGTTTGCACAAGCAAACTATAAGCAACAACTAATTAAATGTAGCAAAACAATGCTTAATGGTTGTTGTTGTTGTGGTGTGTGTGTGGCCCTCCAACTACGCCACCGAGTGACTTCAGCTAAATGCCAAAGCCAACAAAAAACAACACAAACAATGCTTCTTCGCTTTCTTAGTCGTTAGTATTGTTCTGCAGCTAACTTCGCACTATAWAACTCACACGCTGTCTGCTTGCCGCCGTCTGTCCTCACCCCACTTGGCTCCAACTCCGGTTTATCTGTTTGCTTTTGTCGCATTGGTAATTAACATAAGATTAACTTTTGCACACAATTAAATGCGAAAGGCGTAAAAGTTTTTGTGGCTAAATGAAACGCACACTCATATGCAGCAATGAGACAATTGTCTATCGTATACACACATACATGCTCAGACAATTGCTTGCATTGTCTCACGCCAGACTGACATAGTTTTAGATAAAAACATTTAAATGCGCACAAAGTTTTTGCAAAAATGACGTGAAAGTAGCGCAAGCTGCAAAAGAAAAAGTATGTGTGTATGTGAGTGTATGCTAGTATGAGTATATTGTTATTCTTGCATAAAAGCATATGGAAGCGCACCATACATACCAAAGTTCGGAAACAAAAAAGGAGACACTTTAATCAAGGTTTTAACTTTTTCAAAACTCAGAGCTTTTATTAAAACCAATAAAATACGACATATACCCTCCTCATGTAAATTTCTTATAGCACAAAGGTGTACAAAAAATCTTTGTCTCAACTTTTATAGGTCACTTTATATAACAGCTATATGCTATAGCGGTCT